GAAACGGAAAACCGGGTCAGTGGTTTATCTAAATAGAACCTCAATATAAGACCCGTATTATGTTCTGAATTTGGTGACCTGGGGCACATTTTGTACTTTGTGTTTTGTACATCGGTGATTAAAAACTGGCTGCATGGATAATAGTGCAATTATTTAACCAGTTGGTGGAAATTAGCTAATGCAGCGAATGTACTCTGTACTTAAAAGGGAAATACTGTAATTATACTAATGATTGTATGACATTTCTTAACTTTGCAGTGACCAGTAATGCCAAAAGAAAGAGGGTCGTCAGTGTTCATGAGACCGGAAGCTGTATACAAATGAAGGGAGGAGTAGATGGTTATATGAAATGTTAGTACGCAGTGTAGAATATAAGACATTATACAGTAGGTGTGTGTGTGTGCAGTACTGTGCAGAAGCCTTAGGCAATCACAGAAGATGTTTATAGGCAGAGCTGGACTGGAATTTTGGCCCTGGAGTTTGGGGTCTCCGAAGGCCCCATGACAAGGGCGCAGCCAGACTTTTTATGGAAGTAATATTATGTTGAATGCCTGGTACATTTTGCCAGCCCACATACACATCAGCCCATTGGGAAATTACCTGGATTGCCAGGTGGCCAGTGCAGGCGTCCAGTAAGTGCGTCATATCTCCTTGAAAAAAGAAAAAAAAACTCAATTTAACATTAGAATGTATGCAAATTGCTTAACAGTAAAAATATACAAGAATTTCTTCTGTTCTCTAAAAAGTTACTGATATCTTGCTAGATGCCTACAGGCACCTTGACACCTCCGGAACTTTTTTCTGGAACCAGAACATTTTTCCAGAACCAGGAACTTTTTGTATTCACACCACAGGAACTTGGCCCAATTTGTAGTTCCTCCGAGGCAGTTCCGGAACCCTTTTTTGTACCTATTCCAATACTTTTGTTTGAACACATACTGTGGAGGTGCCAGAGGAACACCACTGACGTAATGTAGGTGAAAGAGATAGAAGTAGTGGTGGAAAACTGAGCAAAGGAAATTAGTTTTTAACTTGCATTTAATAAATCGTTTAATACATTTTTGCTTGCGTTTCCATATCTCCGCACCGGAAAATTCGATCGCAAACCACAACACTTAATCTGGCCAGTGCCACCGGTGAAACCTGCTATTGGTTATTAGCGGGATAACGTTACATTATTTTTATTTTGTGACGTTCGGAAGATCAATCTGCTGGCCAGATTTAATAGGAAGCGTGAATAATATTGCAGATCATACAAGTAAAATATTAATAAAAAGTTGCATCAATAACTAAAAAAAACGATGTATATATCCTCCATTGTTTCGGCGTGGCAATGTATATTTTCATATGAAATTATGTGTGAAGTTTAGCCTACGAGTGTTTTGCATCTCATGCTTATTTGGCATAAGTTTCCCAGTTCCTGCTGAGTTACACAAAAGTTTCTAGGAGCCAGAAAAGTTCAGGTCCAGATCGCCCAGGAACTTGTAAACTGGGACCAGGCTCCGGAGCTGTGGTGCAAAAGCACCTTAGGGGAGCACGTCCCTTCGGTTCCCAAGCCTCTCTTCGCCCCCCACCCCCTCCCTCTCCATTCTGTGTCACCATCAGCTCTCTTAACTTCATTGGTTAAATCATTCATTTAGGGATTGATTAACCAAAGATGGCATGCTACTGGTGGAGTAGAAAAAAAAGTATATGGCTATGATGGGTAATTGCTGTAAATACTGAGGTGATTTTAGGGGAGGTTTTGAAATGGCTAAGCTGACACACTTTGACAGGCATAGTATATTAGTTTCAATTCAATTTTATTTATATTGTGACTTTTAACAACAGTCATTGTCACAAAGCACTTTACATGTAACTGGCTAGAACCCCACCAAGCAAGCCTGAGGCGACAGTGGCAGGGAAAAACTCCCTCTAGCAGGAAGAAACCTTGGAGAGGAACCTAGACTCGGAAGGGGACCCCATCCTCTGGGCGACCGTCTTTAAACGTCTTTTTCCTTTACTGCCTATGACTTTTGCACAGTGCTTTTTATGCATAACATTTTAGCCATTTCAGCATTTCACAAGTCCTTGTCAACATGTAATTAAAAGGCAGCACTTCCTGTGAGTGTCTGCAGTCCATGAGACTGTCTACATATTTCAGGAGGAAGAAAGTGTTGCAGTGAAGTTCCATTTTGATAATGCATTTCAGGCTGAAATTTGGAAGGTATATATACTGTGGATCTGCCCCTTTTCAAATGTCACGTGTTCTCTTTAAAAATGCAGAACTACTATTTTATCAAGTTGTTCCTATTCTAAATTTTGCTTGTTTTTTTTTTTTTTTTTAATTATTTAACATGTTGTATCTGGATGACATTTGGAAAGTGTAATATCCACCTTTCTCTCTGCGGGAACATAATACTTTTGCTGTTAGCTGCATTTCATTCACGTCTGAATTTTGTGTTTTCATTTTTATTAAAAAATTAGACCTGCAACAAGCAACTAGCTGCTAAGCTGGTGAGTTTTGAGTTTCCAAAAAGATTGGAAAGTGTGTGTTCGTGACAGTAATGTGTGGGTTATAGGTCCAATCGGCAGCTTGCTGGAGCATAAAGGACTTTCACTACTGAAATCTCAACTGCAGTTTTGCCTCAGACAGCCAGGGGGAATCCCCAACTATGTGTCAACTGAATATCACAGAGGAGGTCCTCAAAGCCGGGGAGAGGCAGAAATATCTTGCTTGTTTTGCACCGTACATGATGGCTGATATAGAGGGTGATTTTGTAACATCCTTTGAGGTCTAATCTGTAAAAGAACAGTTGCTTCTCTGATAAATGCAGGACCTTGAGTTCAAATAATGAAATGCAAATGCACAGATGCTGGTGATAGCTGTCTTTGCTGAATGTTTCAGATAATGGTGTTTTTTTTTTTTTTTTGTTTTTTTTTAATGATTGTACAATTTAACATTACTGAGAAGTGAAGAAGGTAGGTCAAATTTTTTTACTGAAAGCATGAGTCATATGTTATTTGCTTGTCTTATAGTTCTTGCTCGTGGTCACATGTATCCAGAATCAGCATCTTTACATAAAATATAAACCACAGGGGCGCATAAGCCAGTTATGTATGGTGCACCAAAAATGTTCATTTGATTCTATGTAAATACACTCTCCCAGTGCAAAATAGAACTCATATATGTTTTGAATAATTCTGAAGACATGTAAATGACTGCTGTCCTGTATGGTTATGCGGGAGTTCTGTGTTTCAGTACCTATATCTCTTTTGTAATCGCTTTTGCTCATATTGTTATAATATATGAAATATGCACACACACATTCATATTTACACCAACAGGAAATGTAAGGCCTATGGGAAATTAAACAACAATTGAATAAATAAATAGCTATGGATGGTCTCTTGTGTGACTTGTTTTTAGCTTGTTTTGGCTTGGTCTTTTTGCTATGCCAGCTATTCCTATTTAATTTATGTAGTGGCTGCACAAAGCATTTTGCTGCAAAGTCAAAGCAATGTGCTGAATTGTAACATAACCCCAATGGGACTGGAACATGCACGGCCGTTATTAAGTGAGATGTAGGCAGGAAGTGACACAATCAGTTCATTTGCCTGCAAGTACTATTTCAAATTATATCCTTTCATTTAAAAAAAAATCTTTGTTTTCCCCACCAGCATATTTCAGGGGAATTCTGCACCATTCAAAATGGGAGGTGATACATGCAAATTTCATGAGGCTCAGGGTGGTGATCTCCAGTCCATATTACTTGCGATGACTTGGTGAATGACAAAAATGAATTTAAAAAAACGCAGATGATCCAAATGCAAAATTCTGTACACTGTATATGGCCAGATATGCAAATGACAGCCTGGTGGAGGGCTAGTCTGGGCCAGAATGGGTTCAGGTGAGAGCTTCAATTTGCACTTGGGCTTTATGTGCATGGTTTGTATTTTGATTATTTCGGGGTAATAAGGCTAATTCAGTTAATTCAGATTTACTTTGAAAGAACGTATAATTTAAAACTGCTATATTAGTATTTTAGACAAGTATTTAAAAAATAAACATCATGCTTTAAATAACATTTTAATAATAATTTCTGAGTATTTGGGCTACATATTTTCTAGATCATATTCATAAACACAAATACAACTCTTGTTATATACATACTGTATAAGACCTATTGTAGTTTTAAGTGAACCTTCAGTAATATTTTGACTGAGAGGTTACATATGTAGATGATTTCCAGAATTTTTCCTACTCATATTTGTCTTGTGGCCTTATTGACTCAACAGCTTTGAATCTAATTTCTTTTCATCACACGATCAAATGAGGAAAATGTGATTTTGGGAATTTCCAGTCAGAGCGCCTCAGAAAACTTGAATGTTTTTGTCTATTTTTAAAGGTAGTTCCCGAGGCCTGACGTACTGTAAACACTTCTGCATATTAGCATGTAATTTATATTTTGGTCAAAAAAGAGCAGTTATGATAAATATTTATTAGTATTGCTTTACTGTTATTCACATGAGAGTTTAAAAAGCTGTCCTTGATGTAATATTTATGTCTTATGTAAACGTGCTAATTACATTTCGTTATGCTTCCTCAAATTTAAAATTCATTTGCTGTAATGTCTTTCACCTTTGCTGATGGGGTGTTTTGCAATTTTTTGTATTTGTACTGCTTTTGGAAAGAATATTTGGAAAGTTGCATTTTCAGGAAATTAAAACTTATTTAACTGGACAAATATTTAGTCCAGATGTAAATTTATTAATTTAATATCTTAATATAAATTTTCCTCGTATTTGTTTTGCATGTTTGTAGGTTATTACATCGTTCGGTGTAAAACAGAACATTCAGAATTTGTCTGCTCGAGGGAAAACGTCCAGTACAGCACTCAGTAAGTGACGTTAAACAATTTGAGAACTCGAATTCCCACGGTACTTCACCGCGCGGGAGGGGCGTAGCCTTTTTCAGTCGTCCAATGACATGCGCTCGTGACAACGAGACTCTCCCTAGCCGTATGGTTTCGAAAATGACACTTCTTATGTAGTTAACATCAGACCGTTGTATGGAGTAATCGGAACAGTAAAGTTATGGGAGATTTGAGATTATAAAAACTAAAGTATATCGATAAGAGCGATCGACGACTAAACACGAGTATATGTGCCATGGGTAAGTTCTGTTTCTTTACTAACCAGCTAAGAAACGGGAACAAGTAAATATTTTGCATATTGTTCCTGTATACAATAGGAAACATTTTACAGATCGCAGTTAGCCCTTGGTGTTAACCGTGTCAGGAGGTTATGACGTATTTTGCTTGTTAATTTGCTATATTAACGTTTGATTAACCTATTCAGTTAAGTGGTGTGTATATCACCATTAATGGCTGTCACGCAATCAGAGTTCATTCATTGTGTTTGTTTTTGTACTGCTTTTGTGAGTAATAAGTCTGTAAGCTGTGATGTACGTGTTTTCCTTATAATTTATATTACATTATATTTTCTGGACTTAACGAAGACAACGTTGATCGTAGCCGCTGCCAACGCTTTAGTAATACATATTGCTCTAAATTCTGTGGCTGGCGCATATTATTGTTACTTTAGTCGATATAATCTCATCTTTTAGGTAGCTTAATGTTTTTAGGTAACTTAACTCGAGTGTCAAGCGCAGACGTGTGATAAGCATGATATAGCCTAGAGTATTAATTCATGCACTGTGGCAATAGTTATTTTTCATCACAGAATTTGCACTGTGGCATCGCTTTTCTCACAAAGAGTGTAGAGGAAGTGGTAAAAGCTACGAAGCACAGCATGTTCAGCTAAATTTACTGGCTTCTGATCACTGCATGTCACCGCATGTGTTTTGCGGACTGGTGTGCAGCAGTGGCATTATCGCGGGTGATGCACAGGGACTTAACTCTCAGAATGATCGAAATACCGGGAAAATACTCCTAATTATAATGCACCCGGTGCATAACGCGACATGATGATAGCTGACAGCATACACAGTTTATTTGTATAGGTCGAGATTATTTTAAATTGTTTCCTCATTTTACAATTTCTGTAATGCAAATTATTGATAATTACTGAAACAATTCAAATTTCAATGTGTTGCCCTGCGGTTATAAGTCACATATTGTCGAAACTGAGCATCCAGCCCTGTGATCTTCAAGTAGTTTTTACTGTATGGGTAATTATTTGTAGACAGTATTCTTCTGTTATTCATTGTAATTCGGTGTTCATGAATGTTTAAATGAATGAATTTAAATTAAACCATTGCGACTGATATCTTAAAAATAGAGCATCATGTCTTAAAGTGAATGTAGCAAAGAAGCAAAGACCTCAACAACTCGCCGCAACACAGGAAATGGTTAATCTCAAGAGTAGATCCTCTGGCGTTTGCAGTCAATGATCTCATTATTGGTGGCAGTGTGAATGTGAAGTTTGCAAAAAGGAAGTGCATTGTTATTTTCATGGGGGTGCATGATGTGCGGTGGCATGATTAAAGTTTCTAATGATTATGATGGCATTCCTCAGACGTGAAGTGTCCGTAAGATGAAGTTCGACAGAGTACCAGAATATTAAGCTGTGAAAATTGTTAGAAATATAAATCCCTGAGTTATTTCTGAGTCTTTGGCGAAAGGCGGCCTTTTAAACATATTAAGTTATGTGTATTAATATAAAAACACTCCTTAAGGTATGCATTCACTGACTGTGTCCGGCCTGTGTTTATTTTTTTTTCCTTTGGGGGGAGGGGGGGGGGTGAAGAAAATGTACTGCAAAATGTCTGTCTTTGCCCTAGAAAATATATGAGTTTTGCCGACGTCCCACTATGGCTCTAGGGCACCACCTTCAGATGCTTTCTGTTACCTCCTGCAGGATTCCAGTGACCCTGAAATACAGTTTTACACTTCTCACATTTCCAAGTAATTTGGAGAGTTATTATTTTACAGCGACAACAAAGATAACTTTTATTCTTTACATTTTCCACATTGCTCTATCTATTGCAAGAAAATTCTTCCATTGGTTTGATTCGTCTAGTCACAAAAATAAAACTTTGAATTTGAAACATTTCCTTGTCAGTTGCTGCAAGCTATATATATTACTTGTCACATTCAAATAATTCCCAGGGTCAGTTTCACAATCATCGCAATCTATCTATATCTTCTAATAGCTCCAAGGTTTCATGGTAAACTGAGGTTTTGAAACCCGAATTGGGCGTGAGGCTTTGCTTTAATTAGAAATGTATCACAATCGAAACGTGTTTTTTTTTAAAGCAAAATTGTTTGTCAGATGACGAATCGGGAATACATGTAGTGGGTGTTTGAGGTATTGATGCAATACATATGACTTCCTGAGTACACAAATTCTGCTCTTTATCAAATGTAACGGAACAATACTGCTTCTTCATAATGTGAAGGAGACTGAGAAAGCTGCATGTAATGCAAGTGCGTTTTGCATGTTGGAGGGTGACCATTTGGTATTGAACTAAATTTGGCTAGTGTTCCTAAAAGTCCAGTTTAACAGCGAAACGATGATCAGCGTTAGGGTGTCGGTTTGAAGTGGGAAAAGTATAAAAACAACCTGTTGTATTCATAGTCACATGTAAAGGTTGTAGTTAACTTATAATATTATTAGGTGAGGAACTCACGAGCTATGCACGGAATTCTACCCGATATAATCTATTTATTAATATGTATTTGTAATGGTTAGGAATATTAAATAATGTTTCTTTTTCTTTTTATATATTTCAAATGTATATGTGCGCAATAATACCCCACTGTGGTAATTGAACAGATTGCATTTTTCAGGAACAATTAACTTGGCTAACTGAATTATTAATTTAATTTGTGTTAGCGTTTAATGAACCAAAACTTTTATTTCTTTCCATTCCCACACATTGATCTGTAACACTATCACCATTAATGATCTCAGGCTTTGTACAAAAACAGCCGATGACCCTTTTATCAAGAGGCAGTCTGATGAGAAAATCGGTAGACTGCATGCAACGCTGGGGCCTCATGCGTACTGCATAAAATGCAGTACTTTGTTCAAGCTCCTGCTTCTTCTTTTTAGAGCCATTCGTATTTACTGTAATCCCCTCTTGTAAGAAAAGGACACCGCATAACTTTCAGTAGACTTTCACAGAGGAAGTACGTGGTGATGCCATACGCTAACTGTGGTTTTATATTAGAGCTGCTTTTATAAAAGTTTTGGGGGTAGACACACTCATTTCTTAGAAAACTGCAGTTTATCGGATTTTATGCATTTATTTCTATTTTGGGAATGACCTGGTTATCTTATCAGAAGCGCTCCTCCATTACAGTTATTTAGCTGTTTGACACCTGTCAACCGGAAGCATTTTGCAGTTTATTTACAGTATTGTTGTCATCAAAAAATTGCAATTCTTGTGGGTGTATTTGTGTTGAGGCGTACCTGAGAGGTTTGTGAGAGGAGAGGTTTTTTTTTTTCTTTGCGAGAATGTGTACCTCCCTAGAACAATATCTGAGTGATGTGGGAAAGGGAGATAAATGATCAACAGCGACACTTAACATTTCCATTCGCTTCTAGACATAATCTTATTGCAATTTTTGATCTGAAATCTATGCGCTTTAATTTGGGCTGTTGGCCCAACACAACTTTGCACTGGATAAGCAGATTAATGTATGACTTTAAAGACACTAAGTGTAGCTACCTTTAGCTAAGATTCCCAGCTCACCTGTGCCTCCTGACTGATACCTGTGTGATTTATTTATTTTTCGGTCCTGGTGCAGTATCATCACCCAGAAGTGCGCAGGAGAAAAGACAAGACCAGGCTGAAATGGATGCAGACATCAAGAGCAGTATGTCACTGAGCCAGGTAACATCAGGCCTGTCTCTGGTGCCGCTTGTTGAACCCCACCCAAGTAAAATATTTCATACAGCACTCACCGTTTGACACATTGCGTTTCCAGGATGCCTGACTGCTGTAATCTGTTCCAGTAATTTGCCATGCCTTTGTTCTTGTGGCTGAGTAATCTCGCGTGCGATTTCACTCATCAGCTTCTTTGCACTGACAGATTTTTCTGGGGAGAAACTTTGTGACACTGAAATTTGGCATAATTGTGCGGATACGGATACAGTGGCTGACATCTATTGCCGTTTGGCTATTTGCAAAGCAAACGTATTGGAGATTTTTTCATGGTACTGGTTGAAGTATGAAGAATAGTTTGAATGTTCAGTGAGGATTGGTGATATGTGTCATTCATGTGTTTATTTATTTATCATTTTATTTTTATCGGTGCACATTTATCTCACATTCCAACATTACCAAGACTGCATGAGGCCCAAGGAATTTTAAAAAACTAAAAAGGACACCTTGTACAGTATGATAATTTCACATTGTACAAAAACTCTTTTCAATATCAAATTTTAATCAATGACATTTCAATTTAAAGTCTTTTATTAATTATAGTTATTTTATGTTATTAATATGATTGTGTTAATTTTCTTCGGCATTTATTTTTGATAGCTTGATTAATGATTCTCATAAAGAGTGTGAAACCTTAACATAAGCAGAATCCCTCTTTTATTGTTCACTGAGGGTCAGTTTCATTGAAGTGCCAAAAATTGTGGGATCAGCAATATAAGACCCTTGAACTGGGATTGTTTCATCCAGACAAGTATCTTTGCTGTAACTGCTGTAAGTGAATTGACCACTTAGGTGCCTGAACAGAAGTTGCCCCAGACTGCATTGCTATATTTGCTCCTTGCTTTATTCTCTGATTTGTAGGCGGCCTGCATATGATGGGCTTATTTGGTGCACACGGTTTCTGTTGGAGGTTTTTCCACAACAACTGAGTGTAGGTAGGAGGCCACACATGCATGGGTTTATTATGAAGAACTTCAGGTCACGGCTCACCTAACAACAGCCCAAGTAGCAGGGAAGTTATGTCTTATTTATACAGAAATCTGTGAGAAAGGGTTTTAAATGAAGATGCAGAAAGGCAGCAAATTAAAATGGTGTGTAAATACAACTCTGGGAAAAACTAACAGACCACTGCAAAATTCTTAGTTTCACTCATTTCTCAATTTATGGGTGTGCTTCTGTGTAAAATGTCCAATCTCATTGGTGAAAGGCTTCTTTCTTGCTTTATGGGACTTCAGTCCTGCTTCTAGGAGCCTGTTACTAATTGTCCTAGCAGTGCACCTCACCTGCATTTAACATTGTCATCCTCCGATTCACGAGGCATCGTCGGATAAGTTGCTGGTCACCTCTGATATTAGAAAGTCACTTCTTCCCTCTGCCTGTCTGCTTTTTAGTCATTGCCATTGTCTTCTGCTTCATACTGCTCTTATCTTCTGCTGTCTTAGAGATTTTGAGCCTGGAAGGAACCTGCCTCCCAGCATAGCCTTCTGCCAGCAGAACCAAGATTAAATATGCATTTTTTAATCATAGTTTAAAGATAAACATTAATTAAATATAATTATTACATATAAATTTTTTCCAGACCTGCATAAGGCTTAACTGGAAATTTTAATTTGTAATGAAAGTTTCAGGGAGAAATGTCAACATCTAACGTCTTTCGAGATACTATTAATTACTAATGTTATTATTATAATTCCAGTTATATCAGACTCATAAAACTCCAGCTACAGAAGTCTACCTCTGAATTCAGTATGTATGTGTATCTATGTTCAGATAAACAGAAAGTGATGGAGTTCCAGTCCCCAACAGACTTCTGGTAATTTTGCATTGAAAAAAGAGAGAGAGCAGAGATGAGATGCATCAAATTTCCAAGACCAAGCCGTCATATGAAAGCCCAGTGGTTTCTGTGGTGAGAGTTAGCCAAGCGATAGCATCAGCCCAGCACGCCACTGACAATCATAGTGAGACCACGTTATCAACATGTTGACACGAATGCTCCTACGCACTTTTCCGAAATTCATCTATGGTGGAAATTTACATAGGATGTTTACTGACGCTTTTTTCACAACACAACTCGTACAGTAGCTGAGAGCGTGGTCTGGGAAAATGGTGTGCAGGTTGACTCGGATGTCATCTGCCTTTTTGTGCGTAAGACCGGCGTCAGACGGCGTTAATCATGGTTTTGTTTTTCCTTTGTATACTAATCACTGCATCGTTATAGACCAACTACAATGATTTGGGGATAAAGTATGCTTTAAATATGTTATTATCTGTGGCTGCCAAAACAGCTAATATTTTCACACTTTGAATCTAAAACTATTAATTTTTGAGAATGAAGTTTTTTTTGTTTTTTTTTAACCTTATAGATTTGTGTTTTGAGAACAGTCCAAGGTGTGTGTGAAGCACTTGCCAGGTCATTGTGTGTTTTGTAATATTGCCTGTGTATACATTCCAGTACCACTCAACAACCCACTCATTTTGAGACCACTAATGAAATGAGATTGCATGCTTTATCAGAGTTTTACTTTTAATCACCATATTGAAGTGAGCTTTCAGTGTTGACTTTCTTCTTTCTTAGAATTTTGTCTTTCACGCTTAAGCGCCTTTTCTCCATCGCCATCAGCACACCCATTCCCCTTCGTGTGGTTTGGTTGAGCTTTCAGCCTGGCACATGTATGGGTATATAAAATATATTTCACTATAATATTTTGAGAGAACGGCCTCAGTTCTTCCAGTTGTTTTCCAAATGCCTGGTGATGGAGGAGGCTTGGGCTTGTTGAGGATCTGAAAGTGTGTTGAGGATCAGCATCCATGGAGGGGAGCGTAAGGAATAAAGACATGGAGGGTTCACTGCAGGTTCACTGCAGGTTCACTGCAGATTCACTGCAGATGGCTGAGTAGATGCGCGCTGGTGACTCAGACGAGGCCAGATCCAGCATTGAGGCTGGTGGCTTCACTATGATTCAGAGCAGGGGCTCCGCTTCTCGGAACCATCGCCTCAGAGAGGAACTCGATTCAGTGTGAAACTGCCGTCTGGTGATGCTGCCGCTAAAGCTGAGCCCCGTGAACAGGGACGGACGAAAACCCCAAGAGACAAAGAACAAAAGAGTGAGGCACACGGTGTGTCACACAAGCACATACATGTAAAGCTGTGCCAGGTTTGGGGGGGGGGAGTGTTAGCGTGCTTTCCCAACAGTCTACTTTTTGTGAAAATATCGATTCAGAAAATGTAGTGGTTAGGCTATGGTCGATTTTTACCCACACAGTGTAGTTCAATGACCATGTATTTAGTATTGTATAGTATAGTATAGCCATGCAATTTGCAGGAGAAGCATACGGGTTTCCCAGTTTCATTTCAGTCCTGCATCTCTCTCATCTTCTAATAATTGGGCACAGTATGTATTTACATCTGGAAATATTTCTCCGGCAAGTTGCGATGCTGCGTGTCGGACCTGTCCGTTTGGAGGGGATTGACATTCGGGTTTGCTTGCCTTGCAGCCACGGTCAGCAAGATTTACTGCAAAAAAAAAAAGAAAAACTTTTTAAAATGTTCTTTGTTAGATCAGATATAAGACATGTTGTTGTCAAGGATGTTGTGGGCAGATTCTGCAGTATTCCCTAGGGAGGAACCCGCTGTGCCAAATATCTGTCCTACACTGTTACTTACAGGTTTGCCTAAATGCTGATTAGCCTAGCTGTGCGGAGGTAGCTGTGCGGAGGTGACCTTGCCTGTCAGGTGGAGATGATAAAACTGCTGCAATGTTCTCACTGTTAAGGTTTAATGGACATTTTGTTTAAGGACAGCCTAAGGAGGTGTGGCTGTCATTTGTGCCTTTTTTTATTCCTTAAATTTTGGAAAATTCAGGTCATGTTACTGGTTTACACTATCTGGTGACTGACAGTGTAATATAACTCACTGAAAATGTTCTTTAGGGCCTACAGCCCTTTTGAAAGGGCAGCTTGGAGCAGCTGAGTGCTGAACCTGCTTGAGTCTCTAGGATCAAACCGAAGGCAAAGTTGACCAGCAACAATTTCCCAGACTGGTCTGTTTTAATGCCTGGAAAAAAAGAACTCATAGGTGATTCTGCAAGTAAGAGATTTGGTGTGAACCAAGGTCTTATTTCTTTCCTATTTCATCTGGATGTGAAACTGAAATTGAGGTTTTCGATGACAAATTTCAGCAGCCCTCATGGTTGCTCTGAGTTTCATTGGCTCATATTTTCTGTCGGCATATTGTACTCCGGGTCGGAAATTCGCCACTTGTACAGAAAGAGCCCGACGGATGATGGGCTTGCGCCGTATAAGGCTCAAGATACAGTCACAATGTAAAACTGAACTGTACCTTTGGGATTAGGCGTTTGCAGTGAGTTTCAAATGCAGTGAAAATAAGAGCATTAGTAAAAAAGAAAAAAACAAATCAGTGACACAGAACTGACACATTTCAGTAAGTCTTCTGTGTTGGACCATCGTCACGGGCATTTCTAACCCCCAGAAAGCGATGGAGGTTTGATGCCTTGGCCGTTTCCGTCCACAGCACAGCATGGAAACGGAGATGTCTGGTCCCGTCAATGATGGGGACGATGGCTCCAGCCCTGGGGAGTTGGAGATGGAGGAGAAGACATTTTTGACCAGTTTGTACCGCTTCATGGAGGAGAGAAGCACGCCTATAGAGAGGATACCGCATTTGGGCTTCAAACAAAGTGAGTTTATAAACACGCTTTGCATGTGCTAATCAAATGTCATCAGATAATGACTCAAAGCAGATGGTGTCCCTCAGCTTATCTTATGCCTCTTCTGTGCAGTTAACCTCTGGAGGATCTACAAAGCTGTGGACAAGCTCGGGGGTTACGACTCTGTGAGTACCACTATCCCATAAACTGATATGAAAAACTAGAATTTCCTGCAGACCTCTCCACAGGTTCTTCTAGAGAGCAGCTTTATATTGCTAGGTTTGGCGCACAGCCAGACTGGAAATGTTCAATTAAAACAATGGCCCGTCTTGTTCAAGCGTCATACTGGACAGTGAAAATAAACAAAAAAAGATGACAGGCAAGTGTAAACTGGTTGGTTCCACAGTAATTTGCAGGTCAGTCGGCTCATGTGTGAAGGTGAAGTTCTGCTGAGTGGCAGAAAAACCGCAGTTCTAAATATACCAGCGCTTGCAGATGGAAAACTTTATACAGGGCATCTGGGTGTCCATGTCTAAAGGTTCATGAGAAAAGAAATGTTTACGCCTCACCTAAGGTGGTAGTCCGAGACATACACCCAACTGACCACCACATCTAAGGTGGCAAAGCAGGAAATGTGCATGATTTATGAAGGTGTTTGGGAGGGGCGGCTGGGCTAAGCAGCGTAGCGACAGAAAGAAGCCGATATGCCGAACCAACCTGTTGACAGTGACCGTTAGTCTTGTACCACAACAATGAGAGGGGAGCCATCTTCAATTTCCACTCTGCCGACTTCCTGCGTCCTCATTGCTCTTTCGAAGATAGGCAGGGACTGCTGTGTGTCTGAAGTGGCTTTAAAATGGCGTTCATTAGAGGTCAATTCGGCGTGTTTAGTAGGCCAAGCATTAGCGCAAACAGAGTGTCTTTTTTCACAGTTTTTCCCCTTTATCTTTGAAGCTAAATGTGCTGCAAAAACAACTAAGAATCAAAGTAGAGTCTTGCGTGAAAAGAAGGCCAAAGAGGGAAGTTTAACTGGTATAAAATCGCTTCTCTAGAGCAAGTTAGTGCGCCATGTACTATAATCCTTTTGGAGGGAAACCGTAGGACTTGTGCTAGCTTAGGGAGCCACACCACAGGAAAAATAACGGGTTGTACAGCAGCATAGACGGGGAACTGCTGACGACGTAAATGCGAGGTTCCCAGTTCGTTAATATCTGTCTAAACGTAGGCAAGTGTAGCATGCTGACTAGGGCAGCGTGTACCTGTGTTTCTCAGTCTGAATGTGGCTGATACCACCCCTTGCCTCTCCAGGTAACCGCCCGGAGACTTTGGAAAAATGTCTACGATGAGCTGGGGGGCAGCCCGGGCAGTACCAGCGCAGCCACCTGCACCCGCCGGCACTATGAGAAGTACGCACCCCAGTCCCACGACCCCTGCCTGCCCCACCTTCCCTTGTTCCAAATACCATGGTTGAACAAACATACCATGGACTGTTAGCCTTGAAGTGTTTTTTGGTCTCTTCATTTTCTGAGGTTATGATCATTTTTTAAGGCCTTCAGCATGCCACGTTCAACACGTTTAAGCCCTGGTCTTCCCCAGCATGCCTCTCATTCTGTTGTTTCAAATCTTTTGTCCTTGACAGACTGGTGCTGCCCTTTGAGAGACAGCTGAGAGGGGAGGAGGACAAGCCGCTGCCCCCAGCTAAGCCGCGGAAACAGTACAAGAAGAGCCCAGACAGCAAGAACAGCAAAGCTGAGGGCAGGAAGAAGAGGAACCAGTTAGAGCCTGAGAGTCGGCTGGGTGCTGAGGTAGGATGCATGATATTGTAGTTCTTTACTAGAAGGTGTTCTGAGTATCTGCCACACTCTTACTAATGATAATCGCAAGTATTATGGGAGTAACTTCCATCTGTGCTCCCCAAATGTCCAGGAGAAGTCTGAGGATGACGCGCACTGCGAGACAGGGATGTGCACCCATTCTGTTGCCTGGACCCTACCGGCTGACCGGCCGCAGCCTGACCTCTGCGGCCCGCAGATGGGGCTGGCCACAGTGAAAGACAAATCTGCTACTGCCTGCCCAGTCTCGCAGCTGGGAAATGGGCTGTTTCCCAGCATTCAGTCATCAGGTGGCGAGGTGATCTCTCCGCTAGAGAAGAAGAAACGCTTGGCCCAAGCCAGCCTCGGCCTTTCCAAGCTAAGCCAAAGTCCGGAGAAAGATAGCGGGGAGAGGCCCTCTGTGATCCACTGTGCTCAGTCCCCAGGTCTTCCCCGCTCGGACAGAGCCCACGGCTCCTCTGAGGCATCCCCAGTTCCCCGATCGTCTCCCTCCACATCTCGCAGCTCCTCACCCTGCTCTGTGTCGTCCGACGACTGCCAGGCCGTCCTGGACAGTACCACTTGTGTGCAAAACCTCGTATCTCAAACTCCGTCGTCCTATGTGGGTAATTTCACCTCTGTCTCCTACTCCGGTGGAGTCTGCAAGCCTGTGACCTGCTATCCCAATGCTAAGGGTGCAGCTGGCTACCTTAGGCATCGCAGAGACTTTCTGCAGGTTGAGCCAGAAGGGGTCAAGGGGCAAAGACCTGATTCAGCCTGGACTCCAAATTGCAAGGGGGAGGACATGAACCCTGTCCTCAAACCCCACCAGACATCATCTTCTAATTCCAGCTCTGCAGGATACAAGCCTAACTGGATCCCAACCATGTCTAACTTCACTAAAGTTCATCCAAAGACTCTACCATCAATACCATTTCAGTCAGGTTATAAATTTACACAAAACCTCAAGAGACCAGCCATGGATGAGATGACTGCATATGGGAAGAAACTGCAGCTGGTCCCCTCACTGTATCAGGGAGATCTAAAGGAAAAGTTCAAGCCAGGCCTGCCCAAACCTCTCCCTACCCAGCATCCCCTCTTCCATTCCCATGCCAGCATGACAATACCATACCTCCTTCCATCCTATGAAAAGACAAGACCTATGTCAGGCCACCAACTCAAAGGCCTGCAGTTGCCCCCCTTGTTTGTACCTGCCCAGTTGACACTTCCCGCCACCCAGCCAAATTCTATGTATCGCCACATCATGGCCGGAGCTGCCTACTCTGTTCCATTAGAAGCTGTGCGTCCCTATCCCTACCCGTTACCAATCTGGCAACCCCAAGCTGGGTACACCATTGCTGGCCTACATCCACAGTACCCCAGCACTAAGCTGTGACGCAAGTTACAGCTGTGTCTTGACTGTGTCCTGCATGACTGACGGAGGTGGGATGGGGGCTCCACCATGCAGATTAACCCCCCCGTCCCCCGGCATCTAGATGCAAGGGCTGGTCTCACAGTTTGGCCGGAAGCCAGAGTAAAGGCCCTGATTTAGCCTGTTGTCTCAGCATTAGGGGGTTTACAGGTGTGGATTCAGCACACCGGTTGGTGATAGGCTAAAACATTTTTAAATGACAGACCTCATTGCAAGATAATCTCCAGTGGTTACATTCTCAAATGTTTTAGATTAGTATTTCACTCAGGATTTGAATTCCTCTTACCAGTGTTCAGAGTTGGAGAACACATGCAATGTAGTATATGGGAAGTGGACACTTGAAAATTGTGAATGAGCAGCTCTTTTTGCCAAAATAAGCATCTAATTATTCATAATAGCAAGAACTGTTGATTAATTACACCTTTTTTTAATCCAGTAGGCCAGTATGTCTCTCATAAGCACATGACTGGTTGAATTAGGACCATGTTAGTGTTGTTTATGAGGTCTCCTATTGTCTCCAATGACCTTTGTTATCATATGAACAATACAAAAATGATTTCATCCTTGCAAACTCTATACACTACAGCAGGACTGTTTTCTGCGTAATGGATTATTGGACTACATTTCATAGTGCGAAACAATGGAGAGCGGCTGTGAGAAAATAATATGAATTTATACTCCCTGTTTCCAAAAAATGAAATTTTAATTTAAACTGTTAGCTGAAAAATTGCTTCCATTTAGACATTGGATGTGTTTCTGATGTACAATGAGTTAACTTGGAAATATAGATTACCTAATGCATGAAAGGTTTTGCATGAAAATTTTCAGCAATGGATAAAGTACTCTGCTCCCCATATATGACTGCACAACTCATTCATGTCAAAAATAGGTGCATTGTGGAGATCATGTATTGGAAGTTTCTGTAGACACTCTTCACTGAACTGCCAAATGTCATGGTTACCTATGATATTAGCTCTTGTATTTATGGCTTTGTTTCAACTCTTAGCTAGATGCGACAAAGTTATGTTGTTGTTTGTTTTTTGAATTACCTTGTTTTGGAATATCTCTAAAATAGGTACTGCTGCCATTTGGTCTCAGTGAAAAGTGTTTGTGAATGTGGGAGTGGAAATTTAGAACTTTCAGCATACCCTGTGACGTAGACATCAGAGGGAATATGAATAGCGGTGTCCTGGTTAGGGCTCCCCTCTGTGGCAACAGCGAGTATTACACATAGATTGACCTCACAGAAGTTCATCTGCCTTTGACTATGCAAATTATTACCCTATGTTGCGATGTTGCAAAAATGGGGTTATTACTGAAGAGATGTTCTGAAAGATGTATACATCAGCATGAATGAATGAATCCAGCATATCATAAAAGTCTTCCAGCAAAATGACTTGCATTTGCTTGTTTGACAGTTTACGGTTTATGTTATAAATTTAGTAAATTCACAGATTACATGTATTGTATTCAGTCTACAATAGAAAAAAAACTTGTGTATTTTTGTACAAAATTAAAATAAAATGTATAAAACCCAATGTAACCATTTTAGTTCAACAAGCCCGTCTTTTAGTATACATAAAAATGAGAATACAGACGCTCCTCTACTTACAAACTTTTAACTTATGAACTTTCAGACATACAAACGAAGAGGACTGTAAGTCCAGATTGTGTTCATTGGGCTCCCGTTTCCTGTCCACAACATCAATTTTTTTTTCTGTGCGCCAATTCCGCCTAGTAAGACTTCTGGCCGCTACTCCCGCCACACAGCAGCGTAGCGTGCGTACTCCCAGCATCCTAGTTCTTTGTACTTGCATATACCCTTAAAATGATGTTGAATAACGACTTATGGACATTTCAAGCTACGATCGGCCGTTCGGAACTCGTTCGTAAGTAGAGGAGCGTCTGTAACTGCACATGTCCCAGCAAACCATGATAAGCTATGTAACATCTGCTTCTCTGAACAGTGTCACTGTGACACGCGGAGCTAGTCTTGTTGTGTGTAAAGTGGGGACAGACCCTGGATAGACATATAGTTTGGAGTCACCCATTCACCTGACCCTGAGTACAATGCAGACTTCCTGCAACAGGCAAACTGGGGACAACGGGCCAGATTCTGAGGGCTTCTTGGGACTCATTTAGCTTATAATATGTGTGCTAAGATGGTAGCTCTTTGATAATACAAATCTTTGATTGTGACACAGAGGTAACCAGACATCCCATTTTCCACAGTCCTGAAGTACAAATGGTTGTCCAGATAATTAGACTGAAAAAAAAAAGAATTGGCCCATGACCCTGCAAAGGAAAAGAGGATAGAAGATAGATGGATGGAAATTTTAATTGGTGAAGATAACTTCTGGTAATATAAAAGTCCCAATCTCTGTGTGAAGAAGGCATTTCAGCAACTAAATGTTTCGAGATAAGCTGCATTCTCAAGTTCATCAGAGTAAAACGACTAATCAAACGCAAACCTTCCCCTGAGATTACTTCAGTACACTAATCCTAGATAAGTTTAAGCCCTTACAATGTAGCAAAATGCAACACTGGTCCAAAAATCTGGCCAAAGTTGCAGTATGTATGTACTTTGTAGCTTGTTTTCAAGCAAAAGGTACTAAAATGAATGGAAATAATATATGGAACCGCTGTTTTTGTGCATGTAGAAAAGTTAGCTGAAATACTGCCCATAGTGGGAAAACCAGCCTAAGAACAATCACAATGAACTCCATCAAGAAAAAAAATACCTCTCTTTTTAGCTTACCAAAGCTTATCACTTGCACTGATTAATTTCCTTTGTCTCGTTCCTTAGGTTTAGTTTTGAAACATTTACAAAAAGTCATATATAAACATGGACAATTCTGTGCAAGAGGCAGCAATGACGTCAAATGCATATTAAAATGTTGCATGATTTGACTCAGTTTAATGTTACGCAACACAAAGGCAACCAATACAAATTTGGGGATTTTTAAAATGATGTGCTTACAGTTATGTTAGTACAGAAAACTCAAATCAAACTCCTTGGCTTGCTGAACACTTTGTATAGCCAGTCCTGCTACAATGCATTGTATTACACAGCGAATTTAGTGCCCAAGTCCAATATAACGCAGAATCGCAAAAAAAAAAAGCAGTACTTGCGCGATTTTCAGGCGGAGAAGAGCACTTCACAAACTACAAGGCGTTATGGTGTTAGTGAGAAACAGTACTTGCACACAGAAACAGCTATGCAAGTGAGGAATAGGCTAGTGATGTCCGATTTGTGAATGAATTCTTCTTTTGAACCACTTCTTTACAGTGAATCAGTGGAACCTGTTCCCAAATCTAAAAGGATCTAACTTTTCATACATCCACGCATTGCACATGACAAATTATCATACAGAAACACAGGAACGTTTTTAATTAACTTACATTTGCTTTTCATAGGCCGTCTGTAGCCATTTTACCTTTAGTGACCCTACGTTATATCGTAATCCAGTGCATTTGTGCTACGTGCATGCCCGACTGCATGGTGGCTGTGGCGCACTATTCCCGACTCATGATGGTCGAATGACGCTTTGTGAACCATTTGCTGTATTTTTTGACCCCACTAGATGGTGCTCTCTGTTTAAAAAATGCTTAAAGCATGCCCCCAAAGGAAAGCTAGAGCATCATCTAGTGGGGTCATATACAGCAAATGATTCAGCGTCGTTTTGGCCATCAGTACTCCTGAGTCTCGGCAATCACAAGTTGGCGAGTTCGGCACCCGTTGCTAGGCAATTCTCCTGTGAATCACAAGACCCATAGGAGATGTTTGTGATATAATTTACTAAAGCAGCATTATTATTATTATTATTATTATTATTATTTCCTATTTAAAATTCATATATTAGCTTACCTAATTGACAAACGGTATCACTGATTTTATTAATTAATTTTGTTCCATTCGAGTTGCATTCCCCCACCCTATTTTTCCCATTGGCTATATGTATTTTAGTACGCGATTGTAGAGAATGTGACCTTTTCAGGAACACATCAGTGGCATTGTAGCAGGACTGACTTCTACATACTGAAAACAGACACCAATATGTGGCTTTAGTGTCAGTACAGATCAATCATTACTTTCAATACAGTCCATTGAAACATCATTATAGACCTAACTGCAGTTAACTGGGCTGCATATTGGTCTGAAAAAAATGCTTTTCTTTAGTCTGTTGGTGAAGTACAGTACTTCACACAATCATTGTAAAAATCACAGCAGCTTAGTTTAGGCAATGACATAATATTCTGGTACGGTTCTCATAACGCTGATAACTCAAATGATCACAGTTCAAGGTGAGGTGGCGGTATAAATTTAGGCTCGATGAAAAGTTCTCTGTTTGGTTCTGCATTGAAAGTACAATCTAATTTAAATCTACCTCATTCTAGTGTAATTTATGTTGCTATTTTCAACAGAACAGTGTCAGCAAAGGGTAACTATGACAAGAGGCTACAGGAAAATACATAGCTAGGAAAACCAGATTACGTTTCCTAACCGTGAGGTGACCACAGTATATTTCAGTGGATCAGTACAAGACATTCACTGTTTATCTAATAATAGTTCAGGTAATATTTTGGTTATACTGTTTTTCATTTGTGAAACTGGTTTCATTGTCTTCTTATTACCACCTCATTCTGAAATGATTTAACATCACGAAGCAGGCTGAAGGTTCTTTTTCTTTGTGTTTACACATATGAAATTCACAGGGGACTTTCCAGCAAAAGTTTCCACAAGTAAAACCATTCATAAAAACATTAACAAACAGGAGCATGCGAGTCCCAGTGGCTACTGTGCTGCTGCTGCCGCTTCGCAGTTTGCTCAGATAAGCTCACTGCATTTTGAGAAGTTTCAAAACCACTGCAAAACTAGATGAGAAACTCCACCAGACAGAGATCACAGATATCACCGACACTCAGCTAGCTACTAAATATATGTATTTGTTAATTATGAATTTGACACATGGATTTGCTATACAGGCTGATGTACTTCCTTATTTTGTTTTTTTTTTTCTTTTAAAAATCAGACCTTTGGTAAAATCTACGTCTTCATAGAAATTAGCTACTTATTCCACCCGTAGAACTAAGCTGCAGACAATCGCTACCTTCCTCTTGGAGTAGATTACTAGTGTTTTCCATTTGATTTCTAAAATGAATCACTTAAGAGATTTTTCACTGTCCTTACCAAAGGGCTATGGGCCATCATAAAATAATCAAACAAAAAAGATCTTAGAAAGCTTGCTAGCAATTTATTTTGTGTAATATAGCTGATTACCTGTTGATATTTTTATATCCATCCATCCATCCATCCATCCTCTATGCCAGATTATCCTATGCAGGGTTTCGGGGACCTGCAGCCTATCCCAGAAACCATGGGTGCAAGGCCAGGAATAACCCAGGATGGGGCACCAACCCATCACAAGGCACACACACTCACACCTATGGAGAATTTGGTAACTTCAATTCACCTTACCATGTTTTTTGGAGTGGGGAGGGGGGCATGAGAACCTGGAGGAAACGCCACAGCAACATGGGGAGAACATGCAAACTATATTTGATATAAAATTAAAAATTATACGTTTGAATCAATCTGTGTTTCAGGAATGGATACTGCCCCATGTTGTCTAGGGTAAGCTGTAGGAACCATTGACAGGATATTCGGTCATATGATGGATGGATGGATGGATGGATGGATGGATTTCAAATACTGGCTAACATCGATGAGTGATGCGATATATTCAGACAAAAAATACTAATTGTGCACACCTGTTTCAGCCAGAAGATGACACTATTTTCCACTTTCACAAGAGGAAGCTGTTCGTCATCCCACTGGATATGTGAGAAGTGAAAATTGTAGCTGAGACATCTTGGCTGTAGCATTTAAAAAAAAATATTTGAGATGCCCTGATTGAAGTGGATCAATTTATACTGCAGGAAAGTGCGTGAATATCCATTTATTTGTATTCTAAGACATGTCTGCATCATGTAGGTGAAAATGGAGGATTTGTGGCTTATGTGTGTAAACAGTGAAAAATAATATTTTATTGTAATATAATCAGTACTCCTCAGAAGATGAGATTTAGTCTTATTTTTTTGCTTCCCTGGAACCTTCAAGTGTATCCATTCATCTTCCCAGCACTTATCAAGTACAGGGGTTCAGTGAGAACCTTCAAACTCCAATCATAAAGATGTAAGTGACAGTGCTACCAAATACTCAGCCACTTATTCTCTCTCATTTTTATTTAATGCTTATGGGTGGAGATACTACTGGTGAGAGAAGTTTTTTCCATCTCTGTTCATTAGACCCTTGGAGACTGTCACTGTTCCCCTCCCCCCCCCCCCCCCCCATCATAATAGCCCTGCCTCCCTACATTTAACCATACAGAGTGTTCCAGGAATCCTCGTAGGACTTGTTCCATTAATAATAGAACGGATTTTACACATCCTCAGTGTTTTCCCAAAATAAATAAGCCCTTGGGCTCTCGCTGTATAGGACAGAGATGAGAGGTCAGATAAATCAAAGAGGAGAAGG